AAAAAAAAAAAAAGAAAAAAAGAAAGAAAAAATCAGTCATTGAAAACTCAGCAGAGCTTTCTGCTGTGACACACACGAGGTTCCTGGAATCAAGATTGACTGTATGCAATGGTTTTCTGTTACTCATTCTTTGGTACCTTTCTTCTAATAAATTTAGTTATTTTCTTTTTTCTTTTTTAAGCAATGTTATGATCTTCCAGCAGGTTTTCAGAGGCACTAAATCGAGTGGGAGATCTTTCTCTCATGGAGCAGCTGGAGGATTCAAACCTTTCGCCTTTGGGTTGACAGTGCAATGTCTTTATTTCTAGACAACATTAAATTAGGTTGTGTAGTTCATAGGGTGTTATAGTCCATAGGGGTTTGTCGTATGCCTACTAAAGTATTTTAGAGGAAGACAGAGACCCCAGAGCATCAGCAAAGACGGCTTAGACTTAGAAGAAACCTCAGAACCTCTAGACTTAAGTTGTATTGATGAGAAAAATGAGGTCTGATTTTAATAGTCTACAGAGCAGGTGTTTATTGACCATTCCAGGTGTCTCACCAGTGTTCTTAGCCCAGTCTGACAGACTGCAGCTCTTAATAGTCAGCTTGAAAAGGATGGTGGCATGATTGTTGGTTTTCTGAAGTACTTGACCTAGAAAGGAAGTAAAAATGCAGATTGCTTTGTACCTTGTAGCCCCACAGTACACAGATAGCTGTTATTTTATCTCTTTTATAAAACAACAACAACAACAACTCCCCGCCCAGCCTCCAGTGTTGAAGAGGAGTTGGCTTTTTGAGGGAGGAGACTGACTTATGCTTCTCTGGGCTCTGGGCTCTTATGTGCCTCTATCTTTTGACTGCCCTAAGAATAGTACCTTGTCTCAACTAAACAACTTTGATGGTAGAAGGGAAGAATAGTGCTTGAAACTCCTATCTATTACACTCTAAAATTTGTTTTGTAAGTGAGGATGAATTAGCACTTTAGAGCGACTGGTAGGTCATTTGTTGAAGTCAGAATTGTGGTGGGTAGAAAAAATGGTTCTGATGTTGTTAAGAACTAGGTTCTCCTGTTTCTTCCTGAAGGTCAGAGCTGGAGGTACCAAGAGGTAGCACTGGAAGGGACAAAAATAGTTAAAAAGTTGTTATCGGCATCTCTATGGCTTTAGGGCTATTGTTGCCCCCCTGGAACCCTCTTCTTTGACAGTTAAAATACACTCTGTACCTATTCTTGCTTCTCTGCTCCTTCCCATGGCCACTAGAGTGGACTTTCTTAGGTTTAGCTCTGATTGTGTCACTCTGTTATTTGGAAACCTTGGATGACACGTATTGCTCATAGAGTAAAAAAGCCAAACACTTGAGCACAGCACAATTTTCCTCAGCCCTTAAATGAGGTCACAGATTTTCATTTCTCCACCCACGTATGTCTCTCAGTCCCTCCTTTCTAGTCTTAGTCCCTGTCCTACTATTGCTGTGGCAAAAAATCCACAACTGGATACCTTTACAGAACTACAGTTCTTGAGGCTAAAAGTCCGTTTCAGAACCTTTGTCAGTATCTCTGATGTTCCTCTCGGAGATCTATACATGGTGTCTGGTTTCCTATGCTTGCATGTTGTGTGTATAATTCAGAAATTATTAGGTTTAGATTCCATAGTACAGCCACATGACCACAGCAGATTGATCATATCTCTTTGCATTACAAGAATAGAGGGATGGGGATTTCAGTGGGTTTTGAGGGGACACAACTCAGTCTAACA